AAAGTTTAAACTCTTATCATAATAAAAATTGTAAATAGTAGAAATTACTATGACTAACAACAACAAAATGCACATATATATAATATTCTCTTTCTAGTATAAATTTAGCTTGGTTTTCTCCATGAGACATTCATTTGTATGTATTTTTTCTGTTGGTTGTTGCTCACATTACATTGTCAAGTGTCAAGTGAAGATAACTGACTACTAGAGAAGGCGACACTTTTCAGATTATAATCAAAGTATTTGAATAAGAGGAATTTGAAATATATACGCTGCATTTTGTAATCTACCATGACAAAATACCAACAATGAACACAGAGGTTATTTGTCAAGACCCAGTGATAAATTATCATATTAATTCCTGTTGACTCTATCATACTGGGGGCTTATAGACTTGTTAAAATACAAAATATTTATATTTCGAAGTAATATACATACATGTTAACATAAATGGTTTGTTAATTTCGAATGAGCTTTTAAAAAATAGAATACTTTATCAGATTCTTAATATTAATGAGCTTTGTATTCAGTTCTTTAAACTTACCATATATGGTTGTAATGAAATAGTTTTATCACACCTCCCAGTCCCGCATTGCAAGACATTGTGCAAAGCATGTGCGACAGCATAGACAGCAGAGTAAACAGGAAAACTGAAAGATGGGTCTGCATCAATGATATCTTCAGCTGTCACATTGGGGCACTTGCAAATCTGATTACAAAATGTTCCCTCATCTTCATTAACATGCTGAGACTGGGCTTTAGAGGAAGATATGAAATCATTGAAACCTGGAATGTCCATTTTTGGCTCAGCAACCCCCAGTACAGTTCCAACATTTCTGATACCATTTTCCTTGGGGAGCTGCTTGTGTAAGGACCAGGCATCCCCTGCTATCCACACTTTGTTTGTCACATTTTGTTTTATGGCTGCTTTAATCAGAGCCTCAGCAGTCCACTCAGGAGCAAAAACAATGATGACATTTACTCTTTGAGCCTCTAGCTGTTTGAACAGCAGAGGATGATCTGTATTTTCATTAAGGCCTTTATGGTATGCCAAGCAGATCTCGGTGTCCTTTATCTTCTTTATAAATAAGTCCAAGCCATCTTTACCATAATCACCATCGCTATAGAGGAATGAAACCCAACGCCAGTTGAAGTTCTTCAATATTCTATAAACTACTTCAATTACATCTTTATTGGGATGAACTGTTCGTAAGAAAGATGGATATCTTTCCTTTCTTGATAAGGCAGAACTAGCAGCTCCATAACTGACCTGTTGTTAAAAATAGGAACACACAGTTTAGAGATAATTTCTTCTGAAAAGTATGTTGAATCATTGTTTTTTTTTTTTGTCATTCCCAAGTGTGGACATTTACCAAAGGAATCAGATGTGTCATGAACATCGGGGCTACAGTCAGAGTCTCTGTGCTTGTATAAGTGCCAACCACTGAGATAAGTTTTAAGCTATTCTTGCTCAGCTCATCCAATGGGTACATGGAACTATTGCCTGAGATAAGTTTGAGAATGCCAGGAAAGTTCTGTATGTCAGAGCAGTGATCGAATATTTCATAGCCAAGAGTTACATTTGGCAGCAGTTTGGTGGACTTATTGATTTCATCAACAGAAAATTTCATCACCTGAAACCTCCGATAACTTGACAGAATAAAACGTTCCCTATCAACACAAAAAGAATAATTAGAGTAAATTTCAAGTTAAGAACCTTAGAATGTTGTCCTCACCAGGTTTTAATAAATAAAGAGAGCTGATCACAACCAAAATGACAACAAAGATTACAAAACCTACCTTGAGCAGGTGATAGCTTCTGGTTTGTAATGACGATATGGTGTACTGACATGATGAATATCAAAAAGCCCCCCAATCAAGTAATCCCCATCCAACTTAAACTCTGAGGCAAAGATACCCATAACTAGGGAAGGCAGAAGAGAGCCCTGCAGATACAGATAAGCAACAAACAGTTTACCTCTCATAATTACGTCTTAGCTTTAACATAAGCTAATTTTCCAAGAGTCACTGCAAGTGAGTGAGCAAAAACGATCATGCCCATGAACAGGTGTTAAATAAAGTGTCATAAATGCATGGCTGAGGGTCAAAGGAGAATTTACATATCAGCATGCAAACAATCTCTAATCTAAGTCTGCCATGCTCCAGTGATGTAAACAACCAACATGAGACACCAAGCCCACTTCTTTGATTATGAAACACCAAGCCCACTTCTCCCACTTCTTTGATCATGAATAAAACTAAAATCCAGGTTTCATTGTGATGAAAAATTTTTCCTTTGAATGTATTATTGCATATTAAGAGGAATGTTTTATTTGTCTAGGATGTGAATGTAGAATTAAAATAATTGATCAATTTATTATGCCATCTTCTTTTAAGATATGGGAGTAAATTAGGTCATATAAAAGCAGAGAAAGGATGTGGGAATTTTATTTATTGTGTGTTGATACTTGTCTTATATTTATACATTCATATCAGGCCTCCTGGCATCCATAGCAGTGCTGCTACTGGCTGTGTGCCCATTGTTTCAGACAGTGTCAGTAGATAGATATCAGCCATGTCATTCTGCGATTCTTGACTGCAAAGCTGTAAAAGTTTGTCAAACGTTCCTAATTACTTAAAGCAGAGTAAATGGTCTTCTTGTAGTTTTATCTAATCACTAAAATACTCCATTTCCTTAAGAACATGACTTTTAGTTTGGAGATGGATCTTGTGTTCACTCCAAATTTTATTGAAGCCTAATATTGTGGATCAGGAGCTTAAACTTGGCATTTTTCTTCATCCAAATCAGTCAATCATAGATTGCTTTGAGCAGAAACTAATTGTTCCATTTGAACTCAGGCAGCATATGGAATACCGGAAGGTTAAAAAACAAGCTGTGTCAGTTTGAGCTGAGGTTTTTAGAGGACCCAAATGCAGAGACAGAAGCTGAGGTGGTTTTTTAATGATTTAATGTAGGATTTAAGGCGACAGAAGCAAAATCCAAACACAAAATGCAGAAAGCCTTAAAAAAACAAACAAAAAAAACAAAACAAGAGACACCGGGGAAGACACACATGAGGAGAACAGAAATGATGAGGAGCCAGTAAACAGTAACTGAAGATGAGGAGTATAAATGGGAGACTGAACAAAGACAGGCTAATCAGGAGATTGGGTGTGAACGGAAGAATCTAGAAGAGAGGTAGAGGAAAAGAGAATGACAAAAGTGGGCAACGGAGAGTAAACAAGAAATACATAATAACTCAAATACAACTAAAAACAGCAAAAACACAAAATGGAAATAAAACCAATGAAAACTCAAAAAATAACTATGACAAATGGCAGAAGATTAGACAAATCTTTATTGTCTGATCTAGAACAGAAAACAAATCATTCTTTGAAAGGTCTCCATCTTCCTATTAACATAGAAATACTCAATCATTCAAAAACCCATGATATATGTTTGTGATTAGAAATCAACCTCATCCTGTCGAAGTGCAAATTAATATCAGCTGGGTTTATATTCACTAATGACCTATAAAATGGTTTCTGTTTACTAGGTATGACAAAGCAAGGATTTTATTATGGGTCATAGTAAACACAATGGATAAGCAGCCATTATTTACAGACATTTTTACAGATGTGTTTAAATTGTACTGAATAATCCAGTAAACACGGGTATTTAATCCTGAAGTGCACAGAACCTAATTTTATCCTTAACCAGCCTCCATGTTAATGTCAATGGTGGATATAAAAGGAAAATAAAATAGAGTTGTTTAAATTCAAAGATCACTAGCAGAGGCTTTCTTAAAAGGCGGAATAGGCATGTAGGGCAATTTTAAAGAGGACAATAAGTCATGCCCCACTGGCATCACAGAATGTTGTTAGACTTGCAAAATAAAAAGTATGTTGAGCCTCCAGCTCATTCAGAGAAGCCAATGAAATACTGGAAGGACACTCTGCCCAGTAGACATTAGGCAAATGTACAGTTCTTAGGTTGCTACTAACATGATGTTCATTAAGAGAATAAACAAAGAAAATATGTATTTAAATTTTTTATTTAGAGAAAATGTTATTATGGACAGGTTGGGCTTGAAGATTTTTCTTAGACTGTACGGGTTTTATTTAGGTCCTCTGTGTCCATGCTCAGGGCTGAAATCATGGTGGGTTACTTGACTAACACTTAAATAGACATTAGCAAAGAGTAAGGTTGGTTGTGTGTCTTTTTGTTAGCCCAGTGATTTACTTGATGCAAGTCCATGATTTAGCCTCTCCAGTCCACTCTACGACTAAACTGAACAAAGTAGACAAAGAAAATGCATAGACTGACATGAGCGATGGATGATTTTACTGCAGGGATGATGTGATGTTTCTGCTCCATGAGGTTACAGGCAAATTCACACAAATTCATCGATTCATTCAGCCAGATAATTTTGGTGTATGCTTAAAAGCCACATCCTCTTTCAGTGGGCAAATAACAATGAGCTCAGAGCAATATGAAAATAAAATGATATTCCAAAGCTCCAGCCGGTCAGTATTCAGCACCTCAGAGTTACCATGGGCCTTTTCTGTTTAATGCATCGTTTACCTGACCTGCCGGTTTGGGATAGCAACCATGACTTGCAGGTGTGTGGCTGTTAAAGCTAGCAAAACTTTATAATATAACCACCTATCCATTTTAATATCAGGAAGAAGACAAAGACTTCCATACAAAGGAAGAAGACATAGACTTTTTTGATTAAAAGCCTTAATTTAATCTAAAGCCTTCAAATAATATAATACTAAAAGATTTAGCAACATTGTGACAAAAATTAATTTCAGCATGGTTTAGATATCAAAGCCTATTTGTTGGAGTTGAAGATTGCAAGAAAGGGCTGGTTATTGTCTATTAGATTAGGAACCAAAAAAAAAAGAATTGTGCCATATAAAGTGAGATGTAAGATGCTCTAAAATACCTAATTAATGCAGTTCTATTGTATATAAGTAACCTTATTTAGAGTGAATTACTGACTGATTGCTTTGGTATAGTTTTGAATAAGACCTTGGAAGTGCTGTTGTGTGTTTTTGTTGGGTTAAAAAATAATGATATAACATTTCGGAACAAAATACCACAACAGAAAAGAGTAAAGACTGGAGAGTACTGCCAAAGCATTAAATGTAGATATATGCTTTCCATGGTAAAGTATGCTTGCAGTGGCAAAAATGATCCAGGTGAGGATCAGCAGCAGTAGGCAGAAGGTTATTGCTTTGGCTTCATTGTAATTCTTAGGGAGATCTTTTCCCATGTAGGAGAAAATAAAGCAAAGGCAGCATAATAATGATATAAAAATTACAGGGCCACACATTACTTTTAGTTTATAGTTGCAACCTAGTATCAATTTGTCCAAATACAACAGCCTATCACTGTAAGGCTTTGGGGTGGAAACAGAGTAGACAATAATAAGTAAGACAGTCTGAATGACAAATGCCAAGCTGATGACCAACCACTGTCCATTATATGTTCTCCACCAACTGAGAAGTTTGGGGAATTTGGCAGCTATTTTGAAAATACAAACAATTTGAAATGAGCGGACAACAAAACATGCAAGACAAACAGTGTAGAACAACAGAAATGGGAAAAACCTTAAGACACATGAAGCAACTGTCGGTTTGCCAAAATAAAAGAACACACTGAGACTACTCAGAGTGAGGCAGCCTAAAATCAGGAAGCACATCGGTCCTCCAGCAGATCTGACAACAGGAGAGGCAAAGTTAATGGAAAAAAGAGCTGATATCGCTACTGTTAGAGCCACTAAAATGCAGGCTCCAAACATGATGACTATGCTGCCACTGTCGAAGAATGTTACGTATTCCACCTGGCGCAGATTGCATGTTGTACTTCCAGGGTAAGACCACTCTGTCTCCTTACAGCTGATGCAATTGTAGGGATCCTCTGTTTTATACAGCAAAGAGAAGGATATTTACCTCTGTTAAAGGTCTGTACTAAGGTTTGATCAAATCCTACAAAATAATCTTATTATAATGTAAATCAAAACCTCACTTTTGCACAAGTTCCTCTTCCAATGTACAGTAAAATTACTTACCTGTAGTGTTGATATAAGTTCCAGTTGGACAGATTGTACAAATGAAGCAGCATTTGTAGATACCTTCTTGCTTTTTGGAAAATCCTACCGGACAAGCTTTGGAACAAAATGAGGTAGGGACCTGTCAAATACATATAAATTTGAAACAAATGTTTACATATTATTTAGATAAAGACACACAACGTATGTCTTTCTCACTGTCTGTCATTATGTAAGTCTGAACTTTTAATGAATTAAGTCTGTAAGGAATAGCAAATTGTTCTACCTCTAAACCCCAGATCAACAAGAATTATTTCATGTATTCATTTAGTCAGTTACTTAGTTAGTTTGTTAGCCCAGATGCTATTGTCAGGCTTTTTAAACTTCTGATAGATTAATTATAGACAGTTGAATTAAATAGAGGAACTCCTCTGGATGTATTTCAAAGTTGCAACTCAAACATGTTGCTTCCTGATGTGAAAAGAAACAGGAAACTCAAAATAAATCGGCAAGAGAACTTTGGAGCTCTACATTGTTTTTTTTATTCATGTCTTATACAGTAAGTCATGCCATATTTAGTTAATTTCTCTGTGCTCGTTGTTGCTTTTTAAGTGGTTTCATATTAGTTCATTCCTTGTGTGTAGTTCTTTAGTTTATTATTTTAGTTCTATTCTAGTTGAAAAACAATGCTCCTCTTTTATTTAGTGGATATAAATGGTTTTGGTAATACCAACTGGCCTCAAACTGAAGAATCTCTTCCAATTTATATTTATATTTATTTCAAAGATTATTTGAGTTTTTTATGAGATGTGAAACATATTATTTGATCTATATACCAGCTTCTTACTGATGGAAACGGTTTTGGGGGACTAAAAACAGTACACCTGTACAAATACAGAATTTTGTAAAAAAAAAAATGAAACAAATGTGCTAATTAGAGTTTATCCTATTATTCTTATTATGCTGATGATACAGTTATATCGCTTTTACTTTGAGTATAATTTAAACTTCTGCAATTTGTTTTCGACACTGCTCAGTCCCATCTGGCAGGGCTCAAGTAGGTTTTTAATCCATAGAAATCCCAGGTTATGCTATTTTTTAAGCAGCTTTCACCTCTCCTTCCGGGCTTGCTAGTTACGGCATATTCTGATTGATGAGAATCTGTCCTTTAAAACTCATATAGAAAGTCACATTTCTAAGTTCAAACTTAAATTTGGAATTCTTCCTTCAAAAGTAAAAAGCACAATCATTCTATTATCTCAATTATCCTGTTTTATTATGTATTTTATGTATCCAGGTTTGGTAATTGTTTTTATGATGCTTTCTTGGCCCAGTCAAGTCAATTATATTATTTATACACACAGACATGGGTACATTACCATTTGCAGCTTTTACTAGATGAACTATCAGGGGTGTGCATCTTGGATATTTCGTCACCCTTTTAAGTCATCTCCAAAATTGTGAAATAACAGGTAAAAATATACTGACATATTTGAAAAAACTTACCTCTCCATTTCCATGCCATTGGATCTTAGTGGTGTTGATGTGGAAAAATGAGTCAAAATGATAAGAGCCAATTTCCTCTGCCTCTCCGTTTTGATTCCAGTAAAATATCGAGTAGGACCCAAAATTTGGGTCACCATTCTCATTGAACCGGATTCTCTGATTTAAAAGTTGAAAATCAGACTTTCTCATTGCTGCAAGAACCTATAGTGCCAAACAAAGTTAAAATCCATAGTTAGTTTTGAGATGCAGGATGACTATGTTTTTAATGAATATAACGAAGAAGCACCTTGATGACAGGTGATTGCAGTACTGTTTGGTTGATAAGCATGAGATTATGTGTCCCTGTTTCAAAACAGGGACTGATTGAATAATTTTCCTGTTACTTTGCATTTTTTAACATCTAAGAGCAACTCTACATTTTGTTTGTAAGGTAAACTGCCTTGCAAAAAATATTCAATTCTCAATCTTTTCCCCTTTTGGAAAACACCTAATGACTTATGAGGATTTACATGATCAGACCAACAGCACAAATGAAAAGATGAAGGTAAAAGATACACAGGTTTGTAAGATATTCTCTAGCAACACTTGCATTTCTGTTATGGCTTTATATATATATATATATATATATACATTTTAAAAATATCGTAAATCCCCTCCATAAAAAAAAAAAAGCGTCCACCTCTGTATAATCTAAAATCAATACAAATGCACTTTTTTCTGTCAAGCCTTGAACAAAGGTTAAAAATGTACAAGTCTGGTTTACAGCTTAGCTTATGCCCTCTGTGGAACATAGTCTGTAACAAAGCTGATATGGGACTAAAATTATATATTATTGGCCTTCATGCAACATTGAGAACTAAATCTGCAACCTAATTTGTACAAGATTGTTAACTTCTCTAAGGACTTAATTTGTTTGCATTCAATACTTGGACTGACCTCTTTTTCCTTGAATTACTGCAGCAATGTGGGGTGGCATGGAGGAGCAGCCTGTGACATTTTGAGTGTAATAGAACTAAACGCTTCTTTGACAGCGACCTTCAGGTCATCTGCATTGTTTAGTCTTGTCTTTCTCATCTTCCTCTCTGCAATATCCTCCATGGAGTTCAGGTCAAACCAATTTATTGGTCTGTTAGTCACAGTTATACCATTGTAACTGATCCAGCTGTTTGTACCGATAGCAGGGTGGTCTCCTCTTCATACAGCTTGTCAGAGGAGTAAGTATAAAATGCTCTAAGATTCACAGTTAGATGTTTGCATTAACCATAGACTTTAGAAAACACTTTTAACAATTCAACCAAATCACATGGGCCCCAAATAATCTCTAATATTGTAAAATTTAACATGGATTTCAAGCAACATGAATTATCTGGCTGTTCCACTCTTTCTTCAAACTAAGGGATATTTCTCTACAAGTAAAATGTGCATTTATTTTCACTTTAAATGGGATGAATTCGGCCCCCTTTATTTCATCTTTAGCCAAGGTAAGATTCTTGAAGCCTATGGATTTAAATGGTCTTGATTCCCTCACTCCAGCCTCTCAAAGCTCCAGTTATCCCTGTTAATAATGCGGCTTTTCCTACCAAACTTTTTCAGTATATATATATATATATATATATATATATATATATATATATATATATATATATATATATATATATATATATATATATATATATATATATATATATATATATATATATATATATATATATATATATATATATATATATATATATATATATATATATATATATATATATATATTTTTTTTTTTTTTTTTTTACCAATTATATTTTAGGTCTTGCCATTGTAGCTAAGGGGGGTCAGTGGGTGTTTTCTGGACATATTTCACATCAGCAGTCTTACCCATGATTGCATAGCCCATCCAGACTTACAGTAGAGACCATTCCGAAACTCAAGTAACCTTTGCAGTTCCTTTGAGTTCAATGGCCTATTAGGGTGTGACACCATAAATTTGCAATATTTAACTTTATGATATGAGCCACAATCATCTGTGAGGCCAGAAATTAAGGCTTAAAAGATTTCCCTCTAAGTGTAATAAATATTGTTTTCACATTCTAAATTGATTGGCAAATTTATTGAGATTTTTTTTCCCACTATATTCTCATTTCTGAGAAACAACTACACCTTAGATTGTGGTTGGAAAGTTTAAAAGCTTTAAGGGGTACAAGTATATACATATACATACTTTCTTTGTCTTCAAGGATTTAGTGTGAAGAACTATTCAACTGCATAATAAAAAGGATTACTCCACATCTGGTTTCCAATATGTGAATCTGTTAGCCTTTGTTTTGTTTTGCTTAGTTCTATATGTGGTATTTATAATCATTCCAAAGACAAGAACAATTCAGAGCCAGCTTGTAAGTACAGTATAGGTTACAAAGGAAAAGACTGTAGAAATTGAAGTTAAATTAACATCTTCATACTAACCATGTGTGGTTTCACAGGTATAGTTATGTTACAACTGCCATCTCCACATTGCAAGGTGTTGTGTAAAGCGTGCGCGATGGCATAAATGGCAGAGTAAACAGAGAAAGAGAACGATGGGTCTGCATTAATGATATCTTCAGCAGTAAGGTTGTTGCAGTTTGAAATCTGGTTACATAATCTTCCTTGGTCAGGATTTCCATTTGAACAATGGCCTTTTGAAGAGTAGATGAAATCTCTAAAGCCAGGGATTGGCACTGCTGGTTCTGCAACTCCAACTACAGTTCCAATATTTCTGATTCCTTTTTCCATATGTATCCTTTTGTTTAAAGACCACCCATCACCTGCTATCCACACTTTGTTGGTGAAATTGTGTATTATGGCTCCCTTAATTAGATCTTCAGCAGTCCATTCCAGTACAAAAGCAATAATCACATTCACCCCCCGTGACTCCAGCTGTCTGAACATTAGGGGATAATCTGTGTTTTCTTCAAGGCTTTTGGTGTATGCCAGGCAGATGTCAGTTTCTTTGATGATGTTGCTAAACAAATTCAAGGCATCTGTTCCATAGTCATCATCAGTATAAAGGAAAGACACCCAGTGCCAGTTGAATTCTTGCAAAATTTTGAAAAAAACTTCAAGAATATCTGTATTGGGGTGGACTGTTCTTAAAAAGGAAGGATAACTCTTTTTTTTTGATAAGGCAGAACTAGCGGCTCCATAGGACACCTGTTAAGAGAAGAATAAAGCAGATAACATTGTGCCTAAAAACATTGTATGACAGGATATTCACTACAATATGTAGCAGACAGTTTTTTATTTGTTAAAATATCATATTGGTTTACCATAGGTATTAGATCCGTCATGAAGAACGGGGCCACAGTTATTGCTTCTGTGCTTGTATAAGTTCCAACCACTGCTATCACCTTAGAGATATTCCTACTTGACTCCCCCCAAGGTTGGATGATGTTGTTAACAGAGATAAGTTTCAAAATGCTTGGAAAATTCTGTGTATCTGAGCAGTGGTCAAATATTTCATAGCCAAGGGATACATTTGGCAGCAAGTCTGTGGAGTTGTTGATTTGCTCCACAGAGAATCTCATGATCTGCAGTCTTCGGTAACTTGTTAGAATGAAAGGTTGACTGTGGAAAGAAATGGAAAAGTGTAAGTTCAAAAGTAGATTTTTTTTTTCTTGCACCGTAAGCTGCTGACCTTCAAAAGTTGTTGACCTTCAAATCTTGTTTGCATCTATATTTAGGTATTTGAAAGCCGTGTAAAACTAACACACAAACATATCTACAGTCATTGTTGCCACAAACTAGGCAATGACAGACGATGGTGATAGGGTCTGTGCACATTTGGTCCTGTGGAAGTAGAAATTAAGGCTGATGTTAACAGCAATACGTTTAAATATGCTAGGAAATTTCTGTCTGAGCAGTGGTCAAATATTTCATAGCCTAAATTGAGTAGTAATATTTTTTTTTTTTTTTTTTTTTTCTGGGCCATACTCGAAGCACAATTATGTTTCATGAATTTACTATGGGCTTTGCCTGTTTTGTAGTATTTGGAGTTAAATCCAGCTGTTTAGAGTGTAAAGTTTAATTCTAACAGTGACTCTTTTTCTTTCTAAGGTCAGGGGAGGAAACCCTCATCTTTTTAAGGGTTTCAGTGTTAATATTTCACTTTTTTAAATTTTGTTTTCATCTTTTTAGTTTTTAACTTTTTTTTGTACTACACTGAGATATTTATGGAAAGTTCACTTGTAATCACATTTTGCATTGGCATTAACTCATCAAATTATCATGATTGAATAATCATGATCATGAACTTCATTGCTTAGGACTTCATCTTTCTATAACACAAACTCTAAAACCATGGAGGTCCAGAAGAGTCACAGAAAAATTTTAAATCATACAATTTGAAAAGTGTTTTCTAATTGTACATGTTAAATTGAATTATTAAAGAGGAATTGTAAATAGTATTTATTAATTTATGATTAAATACTACAATTTGAAAATTTGTTTTCAAATCCAATTTTTTTTCTTAGTTTTTACAGCACTAGTGGCTTGTTTTTTTGATAGTAGGCTGACACGAAAAGGGGTATGAGAGGGGGAGAGACATGCGGTAAAGGGCCACAGGTCAGATTCAAACCTGGGTCAGCCGCCTTGAGGACTAAGGCCTCAGTATATGGATCGTGCGCGCCAACTGCTGCGTCACCTGGACGCCCCACAAATCCTGTTTCTAAATAGTGATTTAAAAACCATAATTCAAAAATCATATTCTAAATATATTTCTGAACCATTATTTTTTTTTCAGTTTTTACAGCACTAGTGGCCTGACAGGAAAGGGGTTATGAGAAAGGGGGAGAGAGATGCGGGAAAAGACCACAGGTCGGAGTCGTAACCTGGTTCGCCCAAGTCGAGGACTAAGGCCTCCATACATTGGTCGTGTGCGCTAACCACTTCGCCTCCAAAGCAAACCCCCTGAACCATACATTTTAAAAGCTAAATCCTTATCCCATTTCTATTTTCTTTTTTACTTTTCATTCCAAATTCTTTTTTGCAGCAGTATCTTTTTTTACCTTCTCCATTTACCATTTCTGTGACCCTTCTGGTCCCTGACCACACTGAAAACCAGTTAACCAATCACAATTGCTCCTGAGAATATTCACTGTCTATAGAGACATTGAATTATCTCAATAAAGTGCCTTGAGATTACGTTTTGTGAATTAGCACTACATGAACAAATTGATATTCCTTCTTAACTGTAAAAGTAAGTCTTGTATTATAACAAAAACAAGACAGTAATACACTATATTCACCAAATTCATGATAAGCAGTAACCTACTGTAAATCTGAGAACACTAAGAGTATAGCATAAAATAACAGTCTATTACTGGCAACCATACTGCCAGTATTTTACTGTAAATATACAAGACAGTTTTACACAGTGTAAGTTTTACTTATGTTACTCCATGCTGTATATTTCATTTACCTCTTTAGTATTCCAAATAATACTACCATCTCTCTACCTCATTGTTGGAATGGTTTGGTTAGGCTTTTAATGACCTTTTGAAGTAATGGCCACTTCCCTGATGGAATGCTCTTTCAGCACACAATGGTGGGACTGTCAATAGAGACTGTCTCTTTGTAACTTCAGCCACTATTTTCACAAGGTCGTATGCTTTTATTTTTTGGATTGATATAGACATTTTGTAAGACAAAGATTTTCATCCAGGGATATTAGAACTATATCCTCCCTAAACAATATGCTTGCTACATATTCTCTTTATGTTTAATAATAATGAATCTATCAACCAAGTTTAGAAAACTCACTTTGAGCAGGTGAAGGCTTCTGGTCTTTGATGATTTGGAGATTTGCTGCTTAGATGAACATCAAAAAGTGCACCGATCAAGTAATCTCCATCCTGCCGAAACTCTGAGCCTCTAACAGGCCAAATGAAATGATGCAAGCAATTTTCAAATAGACACAAAAAGGCGAAAAACTGTTTGTTATTCATCATTTCTCCTTCCAAACGTCTAATGTTTAATTGTACTGCCTTTCCCTCTACCTTCACAAAGAGCTACTGGGGTTGCTGAGATATGCTGATCATACTAAAGAACTAGACATGAATGATCACGCGCAAATGCACAGCTAATGACACGAGGACAATTTACAAATCAGCATGCAAAAATTATATAATCAGTTTGTGTCAAGCTAGTTGTTATGTAAGCAACTAATTTGTGAAATGATGTCTGTTGAGTCTGTCTATTAAATTTTCTTTTGATTTAGTCAAAAAGTATAACAACAAAATAAATAAAATAATTTACCACCTGACAATTCATTTATTCTTCCTTTTTGCATAGTTAGTTTCTCTGGTTTACTGCTTCATCATCCAGCGTTGTCCTATGTCTAGATTAAGCTATTCTTGTAACCATATTGCCATTAACTATGTTTGCTCACTTTAGAATTTTTTCCATTGCCATATACCCATGGTCCAGTACTTCTCATTTGCCTGTGTTTTTCATCAAGACAAAGGTTTTTACATTGTCATTGCTGCCTTTACCTGTTTGCTCTCTTTCGTCTGTGTATGAGGTTATTCTGGAAAAAAATCCACTAATCCACTTTTTGCCCCATCTCCCTCAGGGCAACAAATCTAATCACCTATGAAAAATGGCAGCTGGTGATTACTGCCTATTTAAAAGCCGTGGTTTGTCTCTGTTGTCATATGCAGTACAGGTTTAGGGCATGCCACAATGACAAAATAAAATTGGCCGGTAACATTTTCTCTTACCAGTAGGAGTAACATTATCAATTAATATTGTATTTTTTTTACCTTTTAAATTGGAATGGCTTTAAATTGATATAAATCTTAAAGGCACAGTTTTACTTTCATCTAGTGGTGCACTAAATGAATGACAAACAACACACTGGTGCCTCAAAGTCACAAAAGCTGCAGAGTGACATTCTTTTCCTTTTGAATGGAGTAGACACATAAACCACTGTTATCCATGTAAAATATGAACAATGAAACAATGAAACACAAAACATTTATCTGAAAACAGGGCTAAAACAAACTGGTATGACTTATGCAAAAGATAATATGAGCTGGTAAATGTTGCCTCGGAGCTCATTTAGTGTAGATAGCAAAAAAATCTGCCAGGTGGGGGTGAGGGACCGGACTACTTGCTGGTGAGCACTCCATAACCATTAACTAAAGATATTGTATAATTGAGTTATATTGTGTATAGTTTGATTGTTGGATGTACGGTGTCCCTGAGTGTCCTGAAATGCACTCTAAATAAAATGTGTTATTATTGTCATTAAACTTCACTGTGATATTTATTACCTTACCTGTCCAGCAGAAAGCCTGCAAACCTCCATCTGTTTTGAAAACTCTACTCCTGCATAAATTCTCTCTCATTTTCTTCCAGTTATTACTTCTTTTTTATATTTGGTTTGTTTGTCTTACATCCCACTGGACAAAGAGTGCTGTTGTTTGTTTTAAACTCCTCAGCCACAGAGTACACATTTTCAAATAGAAGTTAAATGTATAAGGCTTACAAGTTTCTCCCCTTAAGTTTGTCCCCTTTTGGGGACATACTTGTAAACTTCTAAACTTGTAAGCCAAACTAATATGATTAAATATGGTGATGCAATTTGGCATCTCCCATTATATTTATAAACTACTTATTCTAAGCTATTAGAACACCTTATGTTTTCATATTAGATTGTTTTTATATTAGATATTTTTTTTAATCTTAGATTATTTTTCAGGATGAGCATTAGTTAAAGCAATACTTGACTTTTGTGAATAAAAAGAGACATTTCTTACACATTGTCCCTTTAATTAAATTAACATTGTAATGTGATACTTAACTTGTAAAGTGCCATGAAATGGCATTTGTTTAGAAATAGAAATATGGAAATAAATGAAACTGAACAATATCAGTTAATCATATTATTTATGCTACAATGCAATTAAAAAAGATAAAGGAGTAAACTCAATGAAAGCACTTAATTTATATTTATTGAAATAGGTTTTATTAATTGTTTATGTCTTCATCTGTATAAAATGCATAATTTTATGAATTAATAAGCTAATAGTATTAGTAAGAAATTTAAATGACTGACAGTAAAGGAGTAAAATGCATAGAATTACAAATTAATTACAGCGCAAAATGTTTATTCAAACCTGCCTGGACTAGAAAGCCTATTTCATATTTACATGCCTTATTAACTGATGTTTCATATTCTCTAATATGATACCACTAACTATTAATCAATATATGTTCACCTATAACGACCCCTACATAAACCCACACACCTATATATTTTCATACATATTGTACATACACAAATAATTGTACAAAGTTTCAAAATCCAGTTTGAAAAACTATATTACAATGATGAGCCTTTATAAAGATGTTACAAATGATTAAATTAATAAAAAATAAAAGTGGGCTTCAAAAAGAAAGAAATGATAGTCTGGTTTACAATATACTAAAGATATCCATGAACCCAGCCAGAGGATATGCTATTCCAGATACGTTTTCATTTTTTCACATCTAGCAGTATATACATATGTTGAAAAAATTGTTGGTGACCTTATTTTATATATTTTATATATATATATATATATATATATATATATATATATATATATATATATATATATATATATATATATATATATATATATATATATATATATATATATTAAAATTCCATCAAAATTATAGGAAAAAGGCCTGGACAAAACTGATGGTAACCCCAGAAGACAGGAAATAATGTGAATAAAGCAATATGTCAAAACGAAGTGTTTGTAATCAGTCAGTGGGCCTATATATAGGACTACAGGTAGTAACTGAGCTTTTTGGTAATATGATGTGTACCACACTCAATATGGATCCGAGAAGGCAAAGGGTTGATGTTCCTGTGACAACAAAATTCAGAAATGTTTGATCCATGGGACTGTAGCAAACTTCCCTGGACGTGGCTGAAGGAGGGAAATTTAAGACAAATCAAAGTCATGAATTACATGAATAGTGAAAGAAGAGCCAAGACAAACTTCTAGAGTTGAACTTTAGGTTTGAGGAACATCAGTGTCAGATCCTATCATCCATTGTTGTATGAGCAAAAGTGGTCCTAATGGGAGATGATCAAAGAGGAAACAATTGATAGAAACAAATTATAAAAAAGCTAATTTGGATCTCGAGAGTATGAAAGGATTCTAGAGAGAAATGTGCTGTCCAGCGTCAGAAAGCTTGGTCTAAGTTACAGGTCATCTCTTGCGATGTGGTCTTGCAGCACAATAATGACCCAAATCAAATGTCATTTGAATTTCCCAGCAACAGCAAAATAAAGAAACTAAATACATCAGAGGTCTGCCTACTCCATATTGCTACACTTTGCACATTTTGTTTATTGAAAGCATAGAGGGTTAAGGTCCTAAAACATCCCTGGGGAAATTCATTTGGACTGTTAGAAAAAAACTGCATAGAGCTTAATTTTAAAGCTAATTAGTTCCAGAGCACCACTCAAAATGACTTAATTCCACCAGAGAGGAGAGCTTTGCATCTCATATTTTGGTTCACATGGATAGATCTAAATCATGAGGTTTCCATGAAGTATCAATGTAACAGGTCTGATATAAAATCACATCTTTACTTATCGTTTACCAGTACAGTAAATGAAAATTAAATAAATTAGTTAAAAAATAAACTGTGCAAAAGATCCCTGTTTTATTTTATTCACCATAATTAATTTTCTTTTTTGTTATTTATCTATGTTTAACTTTAGTAACTTACATTTTTTCAAGTAGCAGCACTGCTTTGTCATGAGCACATGTTGTTTGAAATATATATTTCCCAGAACTTCTAAGAAAAGCTGGGAGCTACATGCTCGATGTCTCTGTATAACTCTGAATAAGACTTAGGAAATATTGCTGTGTGTTTTTCTGGGGTTCAAAAACAATAATGTAACTCTTTGGGAGGAAATACCAAAACAGAAAAGAGTAGAGACTAGACAGTAATGCAAGAGCATTGAAAGTTGAGGTGTAAGATGAATGGTAAAGCAGATGGGTAGTGGCATATATGATCCAGATTATGACCAACAGCAGAAGGCAGAACGTTATTGATTTGGCCTCATTGTAATTCTTAGGAAAATCTTTTCCCATGTAAGAGAAAACAAAACAAAAGAAACACAATATTGAAAATAAAATCAGAAAACCAGACAAAGCTTCAAAACTTTGATTACAACACAGTGTGATTGTTTTTGACTCTGGATGTGTAATATTACCAGGTGTTGGGGGGGCAGAGGAATAACCATGAATTAGTAAAATTGTTTGAATGACAAATACTACAATGATGAACAACCACTGCCCTTGGTATTTCATCCACCAGCTGAGGAGGGTGGGATACTTAAATGCTATTTTGAATACATAAACAATTTGAAATGAACGTACTAAAAAACATGCAATACATACAGTGAAAAAGAGGAAAAATGGGAAATATTTCAAAACACAGGAAGCAGCTGTGGGTATACCAAAGTTAAAGAACACGCTAATGCAGGACAGACTCAGGCATGCTAAAATAAGAAAGCACATCGGACCTCCAGCAGATTTGACAACAGGGGACTTGTAATTGTGTAGAAAGAGAACAGAGATAGCTGCAGCAAGGCCCACAAAAATGAAAGCTCCAAGAATGATCACCACAGCTTCACCACTTGAATAAGGTGTGTATTCCACATGCCGCAGATGGCATGTAGTACTTCCTTCGTCAGACCACTCTGTGTCCTTACAGCTTATGCAGTCGGAATGATTCCCTGTTACACAGAAGACATAGACAGTTAATTTGCAAAGTTAGCTAAAACAAGAAATCTGTGTAGACTTGCATGTTCGAATAATTATAGGCCTGTGATACATATATAAAGAAAACCATATTTTAATTATATTGTAAGGCCAGTTTTCTGTTTTAATGCAAAACACAGATTTAAACAAGCTAACATATATTTCATATATGAAAACTGACAACTGGATGGATATGCAGATATCTATATAGGATTGCATGTTCTGATAAAGTGACGTTAAAAGTTTAATCCTTGATACATGAGATCCACCATATTGTAAACTTGATGATTTTCTGTTTTAATGCGTTAAACAGATAGCTAATAAACTGGATGCAAAACAAATATTGGCATCACCGCATTTATGCACTGTAATTATTTTTTACCTGTATTAACGATATAAGTTCCTGGTTGACAAATAGTACAACTGAAGCAGCATTTGTGAGTTCCTACTTGTCTTTTTACAAACCCTTCAGAACATTCTTGGGAACAAATGGATACAGGCACCTGTGCAAGTCATGTGTCAAGTAGAGAAATAAAAGTGAGTAAAAATTGCATATCTAAGATAGAAAAAGTTACACACAATCACCTGTCATCAATATCACTTTATAAAAAAATAACACAAGTTTTTCTAAAACTGTCCATTTTTGGTAAGTATGTAAAACAAATGATTTTTTTTTTTTTACTTCATACATCAGAAGATAACAAAACTAGCCCCTTGCCTAAAGTTACCCCAATCTAACATTGAGACCAAAACCTAAAGAAATACTATTACACTTAATAAATAGGCTTACTGTAAAGGATTATTTTTTCTCTAATTTCAGTATGAGATTTTGCTACTGCAAAAAGAGGAATATATGTTGACATTGGGGATAGTGTATGGAGTAGTAAGGATTTTAATATACCCCTATAATAATTGTTCCTTTAATAAGCTCACTATGGCTAATATTAAATTTTTTTTTGTAGTTTTAATGTGTGTATACTTCCATCCAGACAGAGGAAAAACAAATTGATATTGATTTTTTTTTTTTTTTAATCAATTAAAATTACCTCCCCATTGTCATGCCACTTGATTTTGCTCTTGTTGATGAAGAACTGCACTGATGGAGGGAAACTGTAAAAGCCAACTTCCTCTGCTTCACCGCTTTGGTTCCAGCAAACTATTGAATATGAGCCATACTTTGGGTCACCATTCTCATCAAACTGAACCATCTGGTTTAGAAGAGTGAAATTTGATCTCCTTAGCTCTGTTAGAATCTATAGTTTAAAAAAACAAAAAACAGAATACTTGTAAAGATAATATTTTGCATGTGTTCTAAATCACTGGTTGATTGAGATATGTACACTAAACAGGATAGATTCAAATTAAGGGTAATTATCTTAGACACAATCCAATTCTACCCTCTGGGTGCAATAACTGTGGGTGTGTTTATGCTCTACAGTTTCCTTTTTTTTTAAACAGGCAGGAAGCAACTTCTGTATTAGCAACATGGTAGTCTAAACACGGTCCCTATCCTTTGCTTAATGTATCACTTTCACATGTTAAGATTTGAACTTAAATTGAACTGTTGCTCCCCTGTCTTCTGGTGGTAGAGCCTGATTTTATAAATTTTTTTATTGGAGTGACTAGGCAGGGTCGGTCCCTGCCCTAAGGGATGGACAAAGACTGAGGGGCACCAATATCAGTTCAGGGTCGATCTACACCAACAATATTCCCCAAAGTTGCCATGTCGATAAGTTAGCCCAAGTGAGGTTCACTGATAAAAAAGACAACTTTGGGAATTGAATCTTGAGATACTGAAGGATCTCAAGGCAATGAGGCAACAAGGAAACTTTGAGAGTTGAGTCTTAAGATCCTCTATAGAATTTAAACTGAATAATAAAAATAATAACGATGAAGCATATTCACATGTTTCGAAGATATAAGAGAATTGCATAGAAATAGACAAAACCAAGTATGTTGATGCTGTTTTTATTACTTTTATACCCATGGTTCTTTTGTTGTTTTTGTTTGCCCTGTTTTGCCAATATAGCTTTAGGAATTGATGGCTCAGGGCTAGATAATAGCCCAACAGATTTGCATTTATGGTCAGAACATTTTGGTTGTCCCCACAAGGTTCCGGCGAAAATAAGACAACAGACAACCAGTGTAAACATCAAAAAAGCTTCTAGAGAAGCAGGTATCCCTTAGATATCCAGGTGTGTGGAAGGCAAACTTATGCTGATTACACAACACTATTCAGGGTGGTATATATCTGTAGTTGCAGATTAGTATTTAGTATTGCCGTTTATCCATGAACACCTGAACCAAACTCATATAGTATGTGTGCATGGGCAGGTTGTGTATAAAGGATTTAGAAAGCTTCTTCAGAATGAAAAGATGCAGGTGTGAGTGGTACCAGCCTCGCCGTACAGGGCCCAGGATCGGCAAAGATAAGACATGAGCCCCAGAAATCCAAAGGCACCCCAGATCACTGGACCACAAGTAGGGCAAGCATAAGGATAGCCACACACACAAAAGAAGGGCAGACAAAAATAGCAGGAACCCAACCCCCCCTATGGGGCCTGGCCCCAGTTGTTATAGTGCCGAGGTCCAACAGGTTGTTGCAGTGAGCCCATATGCTCTGCTGGCGGCTGGCCACACCCAAGGTGGACCTGGATGGAGGTCCGGGGGCACACCACCCCCTAATAGGCCCAGCAGTCACCAGGACAGCGGCCATTGAATTACTCAACTCGCACCTGGAGAACCATCAGCATGCCAGCAGACACAGGCACCTCTCATCAGTGGGGAACATATGAAAGGGCAGGAGACAGGCCCTTCTCATACTTTGGGCCTAGGGTGTTTCAGTATGTGGAAGGGGAGCCAAAAACTCAAACTGACAAGCAGACAAAGACACACACACAATCCCACTTTTACACCCATATGGACATATACAAATACTCAACTGAGATGCACACAGGGGTACACACTAAACATATTCTTACCTCCTCATACATACACTATCCTCCCAGGTCTAGGAGCCAATCGTCCTGGGGAGGAAAAGCCCACAGACCAAGGAGGAGAGCCCCAGACTTCTCAGTGTGGGAAGGCAGCTTGAGTTCTAAAAAGGACTGGGACCTGGTACCACCCAAGGGAGGAAAGCAGCAGTGTTGCCCAAGTCTAGCTCCAAACACAGTACTTTTTACATATTATATTTTATTGAAAGATTTGAATTACAACCAATATTTGAGCCACGCATTTATTCTGGTGTATTTTATGGGTCAAAAGCCAGATTTTGAGAACCTGTATTCTTTTTTTACGGTACGTGTTCCAGGTTTGCCAATATAGCTCTGGCAGTATTTTTCCTAGAGCTAGACAATTGCTAATCATATTTGCTCTCTCTGGCAGATTATTATAGTTGTTGCCATTGGGTTCCAAAGGGTCCTTGTGTATGAAACTTTATTGAGAATCCTTTAGGAAGTAAAACTGTATAAAACAGACACTGAGACGGAGAAGGGGGGAGAAAGAAAGGGGATATGAACTAAGGGGATAGAGAAAGAGATAGGGACAGGAT